ATCAGACGGTTTTAACGTCTGACCTATGAAACTAACTCTGTCAAGAACAATACTGGGTATTTTGTTGATATTCTTTTATAATGTCCACATACCATCCGTTTTTGAGAATGATTTACTAGAATGCTATATATCTTGAAATATTAAACTAGCCTTTTTAACTGGTCCCTATGAATCTGGATGTATGTAAAAATATGCCCTATTGCCTTTGAGCCTTGAGCATTTGTCCAGCTCCTCTGAAAACTAATCATTCGTTCAAAATTTGAACTCTTATTTCTTTTTCTTTCATTTGAAGAAATATACTAAACGATGGAATATCCACCCGTAACCTAAGTGTTCATCTCGGATCATTCCGAATCATTGTAAATGTAGGGTAAACATATGTATGACGCCAAGTCATCGGAATCTACACAACCACACTAGCTCACTGTAACAAAACAAGCAAACGCTTTCTTCCTTGAAAAAACTGGAAGTCCGTTCATAAAAAAATACATTATTGTTGCATTTACTCACCTGGGTGCGCAGCGATGCCAAAGACACAGCAGATGGCGACGGCACAACACAGTTGAAATGCTGTCATGTTTTTTCTCTCGCTTGCTTACAAACAAACACGTCAAAGAAAAACTAAGAAAAGGGGAGGCACATTAAATGCTCCCCTAACGCTACTGTACCACTTGCCTGTCCTTATGGTTTGATTATGGTTGTCCTGACAGTTAAAAAAAGAATGGGGGAAAATGCAGTTTCGAGTCAATAGACCCCGCTGTTTCAAACAGTATGTTTTCGGGAGAAGCGAGACCTTGTCAACAACAACAGAACTCAGTCAGGAGGTGCGCAGAAACAAATTGCAGTCCTTATCCTGTCAATCAGGGTGAAACCATTGCGATATTAATTGGGGGGATACCCTAACAAAAAGCTAGAGAAAAGTCACCGATAATATTATCAACTTGAATTCTGTCTTTTTTTGTGGTTGGGTGGAGACATACAAGTATGTCTAAGAGGATACAGGAGCCTACTAAGATCATCGCTATTGAAATAAAACGTTTATACCTAACGAACCCCCCCACCTCCCTTCACAGGATAAATGTGTTCCAGCCGTTGGGATGAGTCATCAACAGGTAGAAGCGCTTGCACTGATGGGTTTCTAATAACGTGACTTCTACACAAACATCACACAGACACCTGTAGCATAGGAGGATTAACAGACTTAGTGTTGAGTGATAAATTTTAAATTATTCATAAAGGCACCTGCAGTTAACAATACCCTGGATTAACTTTATGACCCCTACCAGTTTCCCACTATAGAACATGTATAGAGCCTGCCCCAGCTAATTTCATTAACGTGGGACAAGCTGAGTCATTCACACAGGGACGTTGATAATGTCGGAGTTTCCATAAAAATAATATATTGCCTAAAATATGGGAATAAAAAAAACGTCAACGTGTTTGACCTTGTTGACTAGTCGACTGTTGTGAAAAAAAGTTCAGTTTAGTTCAGGTCATCCTCGAACGAGGTTCCACTCAGTATGCCCCCCTCCCCGCCCCAAAGCACACCTGTCGCTTCTTCTGTCAGTTTCTTGAGTGTCAGCCAAATTCTTTGTTTAAAACCCTATATAAAAATATACAATAAAAAGCCCGGAGGTATAAAATCTCAGATTTTACTTGTTCCTTCTACTTCCCCTAGGTAGTTATTTTTTGGCAACTGCTTTCTTCAAGGATATTGGTGTGCTCTCCATACCGTTCAGGTATACAGACGCTCCACATCCTGTGGGCCCTGGATTTCCCAAGAATGCAGAGCCGTCTGTATACACCATTTACATCAGTTGATATACTCAGTTTAAATATTTTCAATCACATATTAGAAATTTTGCCAATTACATGTAACTTCCAGTGTAATTAATTGTAGCCAAGTATGCGTATCATAAAAATCAAGACATATTTTTTAGATGGGGGACACAGAAAGAAAGTACAAGTTTACCAGCATGTCGAGAAAAAATTGCAATGTTTATTTCTTAAATCTGCATGGAAATCAACATATTCATACAACACTTGTCATGTCCTTGCAAACAAATTCCAAATATGAATAATAAAAACAACTCTCTGGACGTAACAATTAAAAACACGTGGCCCCAAGATAGGATATTGTGATAAAATAACACTTTCTTGTCATATTAAAAAATAAAAACATCTTATAAATGTGCAAAGATTAGTTATTATATACTAATCGCTGAACAGATTAAAAGTTTAAGAAGTGGTTCAATAAAATGCAACCAAAAACACAACTTTAGCAGCAAAACATGCGAATTGGAAACAATTACAATTTCTGTGCTATGTACCTAAATCTAAACATCTCTGCTTTTAAACTCTCATCTACACATAGATGAATTCTGTTCCTATATTCATACAAGATGCATAGGTCTAGTCTGACAGGCATAGTTTTCATAACACATAGAACGACACAGTTCTATTTTTAAAGACAAGACACTCTAACCCTAGGTGTTTTCTTAAGTGCTGACGATCGAAAACTACTCTACATTTGTGTGGTTAACTTTCATTGGCCTGCAACATGATGGTGTACACTAGGTCAACCAATCAACTGCGAGAAGACATTTGTAGAGAAAACTAGACAAAAATGTCAAAGCCCTATACAGGCTACTTTGTATAGACAAAGCCAAGTTTTCTGTTCCAAAGACAAGTATTTACAGCACAGTTTCATCAAAAATCCAGTTTTATCACTGGAATTAAAAGAATGCACCTGTATGCAAATTACAACAGCTGTATCAATTGCAGGTGGTAGTGTACAAGTCTGAATAAATTACAAGACTTGAACAATGTATTTGTCTACAGTACTAAATACAGAAGGCCTAGGGGCAAGCCAGTTTTCACATTGGTCAGTTATAATAATTTCTATCAGTGACTTTTGATTATCCTTGCATCTTCTAACAACCCTTCTTTAACATGTCCTTTTTGATTAATTCCATCTGGGGACAGTTCTCAAAGTCTGCACTATCCCCAAAACAATATCTTTTTTTTCAAAGTATTAAACATTTCCTCAAATCTTTCTGCACAATCCCTTCAGGACGCTTCATAAAGTCTGCATCATTCCAAATAAACATCAGTTCTTCTTTCATAAACCTTCTTTGTAAACGTCCTTCCTAGATTTCTGTACTCTTGGCCACTCAGTATAATTTTGATTCTCAGATTGAAATGCTTGCCAAATGCGAGGAAGCAGCCCAAATGTTAAAGTGAAGTGGTCTTTCATCGACGTTGTATTATTGTGATGATGTTTTTTCTGAGATTTCATTATTGCAGATACCTGGCATAGTTGTGAGATTTTTTAGAAACATCTTTGAAACATGTTTGTGAACAAATTTCTTACATTAAAGTTCTTACAAAGGACTTTGACAATCCTTTACTAGATCTGAGAAGCAACATACCTTTGCATGGCCTACAACCATCTACTGTCACAGGAAAAACACCCCTCCCCTGTACAGTGGCACGTTCCACATTCAATTCTTTACATTCCATAAGGAACACTCCACTTCTCATACAGGGGTGTTAAATTTTGATTCCATGTCCTCACCCGCTGTACACTATACAAATAAAACCATGAAACCGTACCTCAAACTTTTTCCACAACTCCACATACCAAAACCCACCTCACTGGCGGTAAAGTACAATCGGCTCCACCCCTTTGGCATTGCCAAAAAACATCACTGGTGCCTCTAACACTAGGAACATTAACATGTCTGCAACAAGACTTAGTGATATCATGAAAGTTCATCTGTGTTGGTAGTTACATGTTTAAAGTTAAAACTTTGGATCCAACACAAAGAAATCTCTCACCTAGAGCTTTCGACCAGTCACTCTGGTCTTCTTCAGTAGACTGACCCAGTGAAGCTGATACCAGATACCTTTGACCCAGTTTTGACGTCACACTTCAAAGGAGCCACGTGACAAGCCTCACTGGGTCAGTCTACTGAGGAAGACCAGAGTGACTGGTCGAAAGTCTCACTCTAGGTGAGAGATTTCTTTGTGTTGGATCAAAAGTTTTAACTTTAAACAAGACTTAGTGATCTAATTCTTCTTCCTACTGATGATATCCTAGTGTAAGGTATCTGACAATATGCCAGACCCTTGGATACAGAAACTTGGTCAACGTTTTTTTACATCAAACAGCAACTCTCTTATAATTACATGTAGAACTTTGTAACTTCCAGGAAACAGTAATAATGTACATTAAACTGTATACATTTTCTCTGTGAAGTTACAATTTATAGTCAGAACAATCTTTCTAGAATACTTTTTCTGAATGTCACAATTTGCACAATTAAATCCAAAGGTTACTACCTTGTAAACTGGATTTGTTTGGCTTATATTCATTCTATCTGGATAATTTCTAGCTCTCAGATACAAACAATTTAAAAACGTATCTCGCATACCCATGCAATTCCTATAAGGAACAAATAAGATGGACATTATAACACTTTAGGGCTCGAAATCCTTTTTTCTGCATACCTGAACTGGTGCAGGTAACATTAAAAGTAACCTGCACTGGACTAATTTTACCTGCACCACTCAGAATTTAGGAAGTATGGATCACAGTAAAAACCGTTGAGAAACTGCTGTCATTATTTCTTTTATACTTCATAGGTGGTATCAGTGAATGCAGGAAATCAAAATTCACATACTAATATTTCTAGTACATGACTTGTACATGTACATGTATATATAACCTCAGTACATGGACCAGTGCAGGTTAGGTGCAGGTAGACATCAGAAATACCTGCACAGCTCCAATTTTACCTGCACTAACCTGCATATACCCAGTACATGGACCAGTGCAGGTTAGGTGCAGGTAGACATCAGAAATACCTGCACAGCTTCAATTTTACCTGCACCTGCACTAACCTGCATACATGTATACCCAGTACATGGACCAGTGCAGGTTAGGTGCAGACAGACATCAGAAATACCTGCACCGCTCCAGTTTTACCTGCACTAACCTGCATATACCCAGTAAATGGACCTGTGCAGGTTAGGTGCAGGTAGACATCAGAAATACCTGCACAGCTTCAACTTTACCTGCACTAATCTGCACATGGTATTTCGAACTATGAACAAGTATATACAAGTGTATCTTATCAGGGGTGCCATTTCGAATTTCTCAATTGCAATTTTGTACAAAATAAAATCGATAAATTCTATGTAAAATTGTATACGAGATCTGCACTGTCGACCAAATTACGTTTTGACAGGCTTCAGAAGTTTTGATTTGGGCCATAGCAGTATACCTAAGACTGCATGGCAATATTATTGGCAAGCAAAACTGGTTCTTTAGCACTGCTGATGCTGGGAAAGGGGTTACCAAGATACCTGATATCAAATTTCTTTAACAAAGATACCTGATACCCATAACCCCTATCACAGCCTTGTTGTTCCAGTATACACAATCGGTTTTGTAGTGCAACAAGTTGATACCAGTGCGCTGTACTGATAGAAGATATGCCTGTAGCGTACGGACGATACGAGATATGTTACGGTGCGTATGGGTGTCATCTGAGGGTGACCATGACGGCGTAGTGTTCGAGGAAGTGGTGATACGCGTCGACAACGTAACCCCAGTTTCTCCACAGCAGCACGGTCACCAGCAGGGCCAGGAGGGAGCTCGCTACCCGGCTTCTGTAAACATCAACATAAACATCAACATAAACATCAACATCAACATTCAAAAACTTTATTTGCAAACTCATGCCAGAAGGCTAATTTCAGATATAATGATACTAAAAAAAAAACACAAAATGTCTAGTCGACAGACCCATCTGGTGTTTCTATGCTGGTGTGTTATGCCAAAGGGCAGTATACCGGATATACATTGTACAGATACAGATATTACTGGGGGGTTGACTTCTTATTTGGAGATTTGGAGGCAGTATTTTTTTGGTCTGTCTGTTTGTGTTTCACTACACTTTGACCACCTAAGAAGTTGGTGATGGATTGTGACATTATTTGGTATGTGGGTAGGTCTTGGGAAAATGAAGGTCGGTCCAGATAAATGTAGGCCTTCTGACAACTTCTATAAATGGTACTGCCGCAGAAATTTCAGCTTTTCCATCTTCTGTACTAGTTTACTAATTGTGCAGCTCACTGCTTATAGACTTAAGTTTTACTCCTGGACCATAAAACTGTGCATGATAAAAAGTAAAGCTCTATTTCTTAAAACAAACTACCAGACAACATTGTACACAACAGAAGTGATATTACCGTGTTTTGAGCATGGGAGTGACCATGCCGGCCAGAGTGGACACCAGGACCAGGATGACCGCGATGACGGCCAGCAGGACGTTGATGAGTTTTGAGATGAGGGCGCGAGCGTTGGCACTGTCCAGCCCCTCCATGGACACCAGCTGCTGCTGCTGCTGAGCCAGCTCCATCTTAGATATCTGTGGACAGGAAAAAAACGGTAAAGCATGCAGTCATCCTCAACAGATCTGGGATTGGGATTTTCTTACAAACAAACTAGGATTCTTCCTACCTTGCTTATGTTTCGATGTCTATCAGACACCTTCCTTAGAGCTTCTGACTGGAGTTCTGCTTCTTTTATATTCTTTTATCAAAATGTGCACGTAAGCAAGGTGGTTGTGTATATTAAGAAAATCTCAATATCCTAATATGTTCTACGAACCTGATGAAATCTTCAGTCATCCTCAACTGAGATGAAGCATGATGCAAGTAGCAATTGAGAACTTGGCAGCTGTGAGCCACTGATTGCCCACTGATTGAGCCATTGTACAATCAGTGGGTATTGCTCACTACAGCACATTATATAAAAAAAAGCTACATTTTTTGTAATGTGGCTATGCTACATCTTGCAAACTTATTCCCATGGGTCAATGGAATTTAATCCATATTGCCAACCAGTGGAATTGCTTTACAGATCAAAGTTCTTGTAAAAATCTGTACTTAATGTAGGATGTAATGAAAAATAATTTATTATTATTATACCTTATAAAAAAGACCTGTTTGAAACATAAAACCAGAGATTTCAGACTCTTGGAAAGTGTTTTTGCTACCTTCATTGTAATTAAGTTAATCCCTGTGTCTGACCATTTGACTTCCTGTAAATCATATACCTTTCCCACCCATGTGTTGTCAGCCTACCATCAAGTTCACTGCTATTTCCTGTGTCTGACCTTTTGACAGTGTCATTCTGACTGGTTAGCTTCCTCCCACCTACATACTGTCAACCTACTCTGTCTAAATTACACAAACCTACAGCTCAGCCACTCAAAACAATACTTCCACACCAACATGTGGAGAATAAGACTCACTCTGGTCTGGCAGGACTCGAGAGCCTCCTGGATATCGCGTGCTCGCTCGTCAGACTGGTACGCCACCTTCTCCTCCATGGAGGCCAGCTCCTGCTTCAGGTTACTCATCTCATTCTGATGCAGCTCTGTCAGGTCATTCAGCTGCTCCTCTAGTCTCTGTACAGAGGTAATTATATGGGAAACAGTTGGCAAAGAGGAAGTCAAGCTTCCCGGAATTTTCTGTGGATTTTCTGGAAACTTACAAGGAATTCTTTCCAGGAAAAATCTTCATAAGGAAACCAGCAATTCAAACTGTCAGGA